GTCGCCGCTGAGTCTGTGCCGGTCCAAACATCCCCCCCCCCCTCCCCCCCCCATCCCCATCTGGGAAGCGCTGGTGCCGCTTCGTCTGCAATACACAGTCCCCTCCCCATTTCCGATTTCGCGCTTAAGCCGCGCACAGTCGCACACGCAAAATGTCACATCCTCTCTCAAAGTCCTCCAAAGCAAACGCCCCTGCAGTTGCTTCTCCCAAACGTTACCAGACTACCCCTATGAATCTCGTTCTGGCCTCTAATAGAAGTTCCTCCCAAGTTTCTGCTCCGTCTACACTCTATACTAACCGCCACAACATGTTTGTGCGTGTAAGGGCACCAACATGCTGCAGACACTACCAAATGTCAAGTCGGCTATCAGTCGCGAAGAGTACGCACACGCAAGCAAATCCATACCAACATCTCCTGAGTCCTGACTCCTAGTTCACGAACTCAGTCCCCATCACATCACAAATTCAGTTCACGAATTCATTCACCATCACATCACGTATACACCAGAGTCACGAAGTCCTTCACCACTGCATCACGGGTGCGTCAGAGTTCACGAGGTCACTCCCCGTCACATCGCGGCTCCTTCCGAGTTCATGAAGTCACTCCCCTTCGCATCACGACTCGTTCCGCGTTCACGAAGTCACATCCACTTCACATCACGGCTTCTTCCGAGTTCACGGAGTCACGCCTGTTCACATCACGACTCCTTCCGCGTTCACGAAGTCACATCCCCTTCACATCACGAGTTCTTTCGCGTTCACGGAGTCACGCCCATTCACATCATGACTCCTTCCGCATTCACGAAGTCACATCCCCTTCACATCACGACTTGGTCCGAGTTCACGAAGTCATTCACAGCCCTTCACCATGACGCGGTGAGCGTGAGTGAGCGTGAGTGAGCGAGTTCGTGAGTGACTTCGCCGAGGTATGCTGGCGGGTAGAGAAGCGAAAGGGCGGAATGGAGGGAAATCGACAGAAAATGTTCTCCGTTCATGAAAAAAAAAAAAAAAGGAGAGCTTACCGCTAGGGCATTATTTGGCGCTACCAGAGAGAGCCCCTGCGCGCGCCGTCTTTACAGATCGTATTTACCCTTTAAAGCGGCCACGTTACTTCGCGATTTGACAGGCATTCTACAACAAAGGAGGCTATGTCCGGGGGCGTCCTCTTTTAAGTCAGCAAGGCGCGCCCTGGGCTTTGCTCGTACAGACCTTTTCATCCTCCTCCGCATGGGCGCTGCCATCTTGGAATCACGTGACGCGGCAGCCATTAGGTTGATTCAACTTGCTACTCCGCTCTCCCCTCCGCGCCTTGGCGAATGCGTTGTATTCGTGTTTTTCGTCGCGTTTCACCGCGCTTTCTTGTCTTACTTCGGAAACTGTAGTCTGACACTACTACTCGACGACTAAGACATCACGAGGGTTCAAAGGTGCTTATGAAATCGAGGTTTGTTTACTAATAGTGACGTAACATTCTCGGTAAGAAGCGCGTATATTTATATCGCACATTTAGGACCGGAAGGCGTCGAGAATAGTCAGCGCAAGGAGTCTAACTGTATTTCCTGAAAGGAAAGTTTCGATTACAGTTTTCAAAAGAAACTGTTATCGAAAACAGTTTCTTTTTATTATGTGAGGAAACTCGCGGAGGGGATAGACAACGAACGTTTAACTTGTATTTTATCTGAGGCTAAAAGTAATGGTACGTCAACATCAGGCAATTTGTTTTTTCATAATATCACACATACTTGTGTTTGAGGTTCTCAATCTTTTTTTGTGACGTAAACATTCGGTTGGTCGGTTTACCTATGAAGCTTAAAAAATTGTATACTGTGCTCGCTCCCATTTCGACAGTCATTTAAGTGATTTATTGGTTATGTTTAGATAACAAGTGGCATTTACTTAATTAATCTTAGCACAAAGGTCGAGTCTTCCCGCATAAAAAGCTACCACAGACACTTAGCAGTATCGAGTTTTAGGTTACCGTGCACAAAGAAATAACATCGTTTCTATTTGCAAATCCAAAACGCGGTTTGGGTTCGGCGCATGCGCAATAACAACAACGCTTTTTTTTTTGCGTATGCTGTTTTATTTTTTGCCTGTATCTGGAGCCCGCAATAATTGACGCCAAATAAAAAGAAAGAGCCGTCTGCATAACAATTACTTGTGTCCATGATTGTCGATGGCGAATAGAGGTTTACTTTTTGTGACCGGCGACGCCGAAATTTACAAAGCGAATCTGTTCAAACAAATAAATATTTGTTCACACAGGTCCGTGAAATGGTGCCTAGCACTAGAATTCAGCCAAACTTTCAGAGGTATTTCTCCTCCTGTGCCCTGTAATTTTATTTGGCCAATTTTACAGAAGGCAAATGCCAGATTTAATTTGACGGGACTGTCACTTATTCTTGAGTAAGCAAATGTTCATATAAAAATAATTTATTTCCTAAGGCAAATATCGTGAAATTCTGCTTATGAGTACTTTTGAAGGGTTGATAATTAAGAAATTTTCTACTCGGCCTGTCAAAACATAGTCGAGTACTGAGTTTAAAAAAATGCCGAGATGATACTAATTGGTTATATCAATTATCTGCGTCACCACACGATACGTTTTAGTCTGCGAAGTTCACTAAAGGCTGGGTGCCCACTAAAACCAAACAGTGGGTAGTAAACTCGCGAGTTCATCTGTTCTGGCTGATTTAGCACATTGCTAATCAAACTGTCGATATGCTTCTTTACATTCACCTGTTAGTCTCTTCATTAGTTTCTTTTTCTAAAAACTGGGGTCATCGGGCACGGCCGCAGACGACGGTAATCTTCCGTGTACATCAGTCACGCGTTTCGCAACCGACCATAATCAGATACACCAAAGGAGTTGGTCAAAAAGCCCGCAGTTTAGGCTAAATAAAATAACCTCGTAGTCCTCAAAGTGGTTCGATACCACTGTTTCATTGGTTGTGTGCTACAAAGAAAATAATCGCATCACAAAATTAAGCAAAAGCAACGTAAAAGAGCAACATAGCCGAGTTCACGTTGAAAACGAAACCAACCAAATTGAAGCAACCTAATGGGGCCGAGTGCGTCAGCGCCCTCTGTCCGTCGGTGAGGCAACTACTAAAATATGTAAGGGAATAGTCGCCTTAGATTAACAAGTTTACGCCTCCTTTTTTTCTTTTTCCTTTTTTTTTTTTTTTTTTTTTGCTGCTTGAATTTGTGATGCGTGACGTAAAGAAAAGCCTTCAGTGCCTTCAGCCGTAGAGTTATTATACTGTGCGCTAGAGGTTCAACTGGCGCTAGTGTGCTGCTGCAAATTGAAGCGGGCAGCAACCAGTCGAAGACTGACTTCCGGTAATGCATTTCTATGGGGAAAAGTGAGTGCATTTTCTCCCTGCGCTGGATTATAAGAGCAAATATCACGAATAATTCGTATATACAAATAGATTGGAACATTTCCCAGTCACGCAGACAGACTAATTGGTCTGTTGCGGCGTTTTTCTTTTAAATGCATGGCATTAAAAACGGTGTTAAAATGGATGGCGTCGTACATTTGTTTATGTAAGCTGTCCGACACTGTTAGCGCGAACACGGCAACGGCGCTTTTCAGCAGGAGGTAATACGAGCCAAAGCAATGAAGAGCACCTTGGAAAAGAAGAGAGACGTAAATAACTACGCAATAACACTAGGTCAGTACCTACATGTGAATGTAGAGGATAAAAATTAAGCCGATTAATAAGAGCAGTTTGCAATAAATAACGTTCGTTTTATTCACTCTGCTGCTCAATATATCCATGGGTACAAACGTAAGTTAGCTCTGGTGTTCAAACCTCATATCTGCATGCTCGAGAACATTTTGTTTAATGGGGAAAATCTAGAAAACTATACTCGCCCGATAGATGTATTACAATAATAAAAAGAAAAACACCTTTTATAGTGCGCGTACTCCTACCGTTTAGCGCGTTTTTCCCGCTAGTAAATGGGGATCATTTTCATTGACTGACGGAAGAACTTGATTGAAAAAGGGGTCGTTTTAGTGGCATGTATATCTCGCAGATTATTAATATTAGCGTCACCGAGACGTTGGCTCCCCTTAAAAACGTCCTTCGTTATCTTCGACTCGTATTCAAGTCAAATTCGCCGCTTGTCTTTATACACTTGCCGTGGAACATAGGACTGAAGCCGGAATATTTTAAATTTAAACATCGGTCAATGATCAGGAAAAAAAAAGTGATCAGCCGAATTTTATGAAAAGAAAAAAAAAACTGTCACGAAGAACCATCACGTTAATTTCCCCGCCGAGATAAAGAAAACACTGTAACTACTGCAGTGTCAATTTTGTAGCGTGAATAAAGTTTCCTCCTATGCAGTACAGCACAAGAAAGTTCATTTCTGTTATTCTCCGGCGATGAGACAAAATGCACGGGAGATTTCCCGTAGGAATGTGCAGGAGAACCACAAAAGTGGTCTGGTTGCTGAGTGCTTCAATGTGGATCCGGATGTGCCATAGACACTAGCGCTAGTCGAACCTCTTGCGTACATGATGATTACTCTAAGGCATGTTGCTGCTGCCGCGCCACCTGCATCGGAGTCTGCTCAAGCGCCGCGCGAAAAGTGCTCACAGTTTGGCAATTTAGCCTCCTTCTTCTATAGAAGCAGCTCCCGGCATTCCTTGCGGTGCAGCAGAGGGCGCTGCACGCTTTGCGAATATGAAACCCCTTGATGCGTTTCTGTTTGCAAGTAGCGTCAAATGCGCCTCGTGCAGTACAGCATGAGGCGCATGCCTGGTTTAGCCCTTGGAAGTAAATGGCGGCGATTGGCTCAAATAAGCGGCCCTTGGAAGCGAATGACGGCGGAGCGATCGCTCGTGACACTTGTCTAGCGCTTTCCGACGACAAGGATACTTGCAAGACGCGCGAAGCGCCAATTTTATGGATGGACGTTTTATGCGAAAGGTATGTTTCGTTCAGTGGTGTCATTTCATTTTGCCCATCGGAAACGCAGGAAGTCCAACATCGTGGAAACGATGTTCCAGATGCTCGAGAAGTATTCGAACAACCTGGAAGACCTGATCAGGGAACGCACTGTTCAGCTCGACGAAGAGAAGAAGAAAACCGAACAGCTGCTCAACCGCATGCTTCCCAGGTAGGAATCGACGAATCAAATAAGAAGAAAAATTAAAGAAGCTCGATCATGTTGATACAGACAAAGAGCGGTAAACAAATATTGTGCTGAGTGCGAAGTGCTACCTCGCAGAGCCACCTCGGAGAAGCTAACGTCACGTGACTTGAAGTAACGTGACCTGTTCACGTGGCATCGATTTCTCCGCTAAATGAATCGGAGAAATTAACCTGACAGATGCTCGTAAAAGCTGTCTAATGGAAATCGGTTGATAAAACACATTCTATGTAAAAACGTACCAGCGACCTTTATATTCAAAGTTTTATAGCGCATGAAATGCAATCTCTAGTAAGCGACCCTTTAAATTTATTTTTTCAGAAAACATGAAAAAGCCCTTTGGGGGAGTGAACAAAAAATCTCGTTTAAATTCCCCGTTAAAAGAGAGTTTTAGTAGATCATTCCCATGACTCCGATAACGATACCCGATACTCCTCCACCGCCTCCCTTGCGCATGCATAGTATCGTTATCGGGGCTATCGGAGGTATCAGAACGATCTACTAAAACTCTCTAAAGTTAGAGGGGAAATCGACGTCGCAGTTTCAAAACGTGGTGTTGTGTGACGCTTCAATTCCCCCCCCCCCCCCCAATTTAGCGCATAAATTAATTTCTTATTATCTGACATTACGTGGCAGGGTGACGTCATCACGGTGTCAAGTCGCGGTGCCGCACTTAAGGCCCGGCGTCACCGGACCTCAATTTCCTCGTGAAATGTAGCGGGTAAATCGACGGACAGACGGACGTACGGACTGACATAAACACGGAGTTTTAATATATAGTTTCGATGCTTCCGGTAAAGATACAGAGAACAATACGTTGCAAGCGCAAATGCGTCAACAGAGTGTCGGCTGTCGTCATCAGCGAAATCGGAACTGATATAAAGCGCCTTAATTTGTCACTAAGGGGTTTCGTTAAAAATTATTTTATGCTTTAAAACTACCTCGATGTTTAGCATTTCGACTCAATACGCACGATTCCAGGACCAAAATAATTCCCATTCCGACTGAATGGGATATTATACACTCGGTTATAAACTGAATCGACCATACGGCAATTTCCTTATGGCGAAGCAGGACTTCAGCTTAAGTGTGCGTCGCCAACGCTGTCTTTTATTTTGCACTCATTATCTTTTATTTCCCGCCGAGTGGCGGCGCAGTTCCGTAGCTGAAACCTTGAAGGCAGGCCTGCCCGTGATTCCCGAGAAGTTCGAGGAAGTGACGGTCTACTTCAGCGACATCGTGGGCTTCACCACCATCTCGGCCTACAGCGAGCCCATGGAGATCGTCGATCTGCTCAACGATCTCTACACGGCCTTTGACTCCACCATCAATCATTACAACATATACAAGGTGAGCCCAGCTACCGTGCCTGGAACACGTGTTCGACAGGCGTGTTTAAGGCCTGTTCCCACATGCAGCGGAGCGCTACAAGCATAGCGCTTACCTCGCGCTAAGCGCGTGCTGATGGGAGCGTTCACCAGCTTTGTATCGCACCGTCAAAACTGTTGCTCATGGCAGACGATAAGTAGCTGACGGCACGTGAGGAGCGCTACATCAGCGCTTCGCTGCATGTGAGAACCGACCTTTAGTGTCCTACACCGCTCTCATTAGGCAAAGGAGTTTCAAAGGTGACAACGAATTGCGTCACAGGAGCCGGCTTGTCGTGTTGTCTGATGCCGCGACCCTTGACGGTCGGTCGTAGAAGTTCAACAAAACAAGACCACAGAGAGCAGGTGTCGCAGCTATTGCCGCTGCGTCCCAACCCGCTGTCGCAAAAGCTTCCTTGACAGTCGAGCTGCGAGCAAGCTGCAGCAATACACATCTAGCCGCTGCTCCACCTCCGCTACTCTGCCACTACCAAGATCGCGGCAAGCAGCAGCGTTACACATTTATGACGTCATCACCCGGAAATCAAGGGAGCACATTTGATGTCCAAGTAAACACTAGTCTGAGACGCGCTCCTTGTGTCATAGTTCAGCTGAACCGAAGCTGAGCTGGGTGTCTTCACATCAGACATGACAATACACTTTTTTAAACCTCAAATCTTAAAACGGGTGTCTTCATAACACACTAAGCAATACACTCAACTAAATTTCAAACGATAAAACAAGAAGTTTTATCATATAAACTGAATAATTTTATTTGCATGGCACATGTAAGTTCAGTCAGTTCGAGTCACTAATGAGTCAGCGGTTCAGATAGTGAGAACACGACATGCATAATTGTTTTTTATCTTGCTGGTTAAAGAACAATAGAAAAAATAGGCTTAGGTGGCAGTGGTCCACGCGTCGATGAATGCCGCCTCAGAGATGAGACACCTCCTCCTCCCCCCCCCGCCAAAAAAAAAATTATTTTTTGCCAGGCGATTTAATACGCTGTCAAACGAATACCCAATCAATATTTTGCTACAGCGTCGCGTGTATTTTTCATAAAAAAAAAAAAAATGAAAGCCGTTTACAACTCCCTGTAACGCCGAATTTGAGCGCAGCTCTTGAGGAGGAGGAGGGAAAAGTACTGGGGGGATCAGTTGACCTCGGGGGGGGAGGGGTCACGTGACCTCGGGGGTCACGTGACGATGACGTCATCAGTGGTGATGACGATGACGATGCGGATGCCGATTACGTCATTGGCATCCGCATCGCCATCGTCATCATGACTGATGACGTCATCAGTGACGTCACTGATGACGTCATCGGCATCGTCATCATCATCATCACTGATGACGTCATCGGCGCGTGACCCCCCAGGTCACGTAACCCCCCCAGCCCCTAGGTCCTCCCGAAGGAACCCGAGGTCCTCCCGAGGTCCTCCCGAAGGAGCCCGAGGTCCTCCCGAGGTCCTCCCGAAGGAACCCGAGGTCCTTCCGAGGTCCTCCCGAAGGAACCCGAGGTCCTTCCGAGGTCCTCCCGAAGAAACCCGAGGTGCTTCCGAAGTCCTCCCGAAGGAACCCGAGGTCCTGGGGGGGTCACGTGACGATGACATCATCAGTGACGATGACGATGACGATGCGGATACCGGTGAAGTCATTGGCATCCGCATCGCCATCGTCATCGTCATTGATGACGTCATCAGTGACGTCACTGATGACGTCATCGGCATCCGCATCGTCATCGTCATTGTCACTGATGACGTCATCGTCACGTGACCCCCCCTAGGTCCTCCCGAAGGAACCCGAGGTCCTCCCGAGGTCCTCCCGAAGGAGCCCGAGGTCCTCCCGAGGCCCTCCCGAAGGAACCCGAGGTCCTCCCGAGATCCTCCCGAAGGAACCCGAGGTAGGAACCCGAGGTCCTTACGAGGTCCTCCCGAAGGAACCCGAGGTCCTCCCGAAGGACCTCGGGTTCCTTCGGGAGGATCTCGGGAGGACCTCGGGTTCCTTCGGGAAAATTTACCCATAATGCACCGCGCGGTTACGCCGACGGTGACGGCGACGGCGACGGCGACGGCGACGCCGCTCAAGCCGGAAACGGGCGCCTAAGAGCTGCGCTCTAAAAAGAAATGCAACTGCTGCAAAACGAAACCATAACTGGACTAGGGAGGGAGGAGAAATGTAGAGGAGAGACCTGACGGAAGGCACCAGGCTACACTCGACCGCGTGTCGTTTTTTTTTTATTTTTTTTTTATTTATTATTTATTATTTTTTTTTACATTGGAGCTGGTAAGGGCTGGTTTCCCCAGGATCATGTCCCCCGGAAACAAATGAAGACCCCGAACTCTGGACATCTACCGCCATCTATGAGCGACGGCGGCAAACCACGTACCTGGTACCTGGTTGCCGCCGTCGCTCATAGATGGCAGCAGCCTTTCCCCTTTCTCTGGCTTGCCTACTTGCGGTCGGCCGTTACTTTCCGCGGTACAGCTCCTCTGGTCTTCCTTCTTCGCCAGAGTGGAAAGGCAAAAAGCTTTTTTTTTTCCTCCATTTTTTTTTTCTTTTTTGTGAGAAGCAGACTGAAACTCGCCCGTCGCATGTCGCACGAAAAACGTAGACTCCAAGCTCTTTCTGCATGATGTTTGCGCGTTTTTCAAGCTCTTACCAGTTGGTATTCGTACAACGAGGGATGTCTTCAGCCAGGAGAAGGGGCGACGACTTGTCGACGTCTTCGCGCGAATCAGCATGGTGGTGCGGCGTGTCGGGTGTGCAACTCCTTTTTTACCAACGTATTTACAGCTTTTTACAAGTCACGAAAATAAGTTTCCAATTTTAGAGCACAGCTCTTAGGCGCCCATTCCCGGCTTGAGCGGCGTCGGCGTCGCCGTCGGCGTCGCCGTTGGCGTCGCCATCGGCGTAACCGCGAGTAACCCTCGTAACCTCGTGAGGGTTACGAGGGTTACGAGGGTTAATCTCACGAGTGTTACCCTCACGAGAAGCTCGAGGGCTACTAACCCTCGTAACCCTCACGAGGGTTACGAGGGTTACTAACCCTCGTAAGCCTTACGAGGGTTACGAGGGTTATGAGAGTTACCCTCACGAGGGTCACGAGGGTTATGAGAGTTACCCTCACGAGGGTCACGAGGGTTACGAGAACACCCTCACGAGGGTCACGAGGGTTACGACAGTTATTCTCATGAGGGTCACGAGAGTTACCCTCACGAGGGTCACGAGAGTTGCCCTCATAAGGGGTTATCCTCACGAGGGTCACGATGGTTACCCAGGTCACGTGACCCCTCCCGGGGTCAGGTGACCTGGGGATACCCTCCCGCCGAGGTCACGTGACGCCCCGTTGACGTCATCGCCACTGATGACATCACTGGCATCCGGATCGTCATCGGCATCATCACTAATGACGTCATCAGCAACGTCACTGATGACGTCACCGGCATCCGCATCGTCATCGGCATCGTCACGTGACACCCCAAGGTCACGTGATTCCCACAAGGCCACGTGACCCCCCAAAGTCACGTGACCCCCCCCTCCCCCAAGGTCCCTTGACCCACCCCCCAGTACCCTTCTCTACTCCTCCTCAAGAGCTGCGCTCTAATTCGGCGTTACAGGGAGTTGTAAACGGCTTTCATTTTTTTTTTAATTTTGAGTGTGTGTTTTAAATTACTTGCAACTTTGATTATATTTGGTGTGTTTGTCTGAACGCCATGTGACCACGGAATAGAAAGTGAGCGCGACTCAAACCGGCCAATTGTCAATTGCTATTAAAAAAAAAAAAAACGAATTTCGTGTCGCAAATTGTGTTACGGGTATTTGGGCTCTCACTTGTCATGTACAAATAAAACCTTGGCGAGCATAAAATCCCTGTCAGTGTCTCTTTAAAAAGGCACCAAAGTGTTTTTCTGAGATCCTCGTTTTGTGGTCATAATTCAATCTACGCGGTCTATACATCCTTACCAAAAATAAACCACAAAATTACATTCATACGCAGCCGATTTGCATATTAAAGAAGTGATCAAAGACTGCGACACTTACCATTGTCACACAACGACAGATGGCGTTACCGATCCCTGTGACGCCAGTGGGATCTGTACCCAAAAACGTCTATAGCCAAATTTGAAGAGACAGATACAATGCGCAAGATGTAGAAAGAAGGCCGAAACAACTGAGCATGTGGTTCTGAAATGTAAGAAGGTCAGTCCTGCCCCTCTCGAGGAGGCGACAGACGTACCGGTGGCCTTTGATTTTGCTGGAAAAGATGGAAGGGTGGGTTATAGAAGTGAAGAGGAAACGAAGAAGATGTTGTAAAGTGGGGATTTGGGCCAGTTGGTTCATTGCAAGCAAAAAAGCGCCGAAAAAATACAGGGACACAGACGAAGGGAAACAGGACAAGGCGCCTTGTCCTGTTTCCCTTCGTCTGTGTCCCTGTATTTTTTCGGCGGTTTTTTGCTTGCGAAGAAGATGTTGCAGTGATGGTGGACATTATATGCGGAAAATTGAACCAAATACAGCAAACTATAACACAGCTTGGGGACAGAGCGAAATTGGGTCTCTTTCTCGCGTGGCTCTGGTTCAAGGTCTCAGCTTCGTTCTCCAGTGGGACTGCAGTTAGTTGACGCCGACAAGGTTCCACCAGAGGAAAATTGGCGTTTCCCCCACAAGGAAAAAAGCAAAAAATTGTTTTTAGTTTTTTCTTCTTTTCTTTTTTTTTTTTTTTTTGTCCGGTCCTTCAAAGGTTTGCTTGGCAAGCACCTTCACGGCCTGGTGGTAGTTATACAAAAATGCATTGGCCTGAAACGGCAAAGGTAATTCTGGTGTTTGTTGTTGTTTTTTAGGCAAGGTGGCGCAAGCTACCGCCCATTATAAAGAGAGCAGCCGTTAGTATCAAAGCCGTATATCTAGAGTGTTTGGCCATTCGTTGGGAAGTATAGGAGACAAATGAGGAGGCGCCATTGGTCGAAAGCGGGCTGGGCGTGTTCCAGGGCATCTTGAGAAATTCGAATGTGGCCAACCAGAAGTCCGAAATAATACCCTGGCGGTGGTCGAGAGAAACAAACCTGATATGTCCATCGGAGTGACTCTCAATGACTGAAAATATGGTGCACGTGATGTTTCAATCACGGTCATCCAAAACTATGGTGGAAGGGTGTGACGAGCGGAACGATCGACATAGTCCGTACGCCAAGTGCTGAGGGCCGGGAATCTGACTTCCGAGCGGTCACACTCTGTGCGAGCAAAACAGAGTTGAGCGGCGCATTCATTTCTTACAACTTTCTACATGATAGTGATCGAAACATCACGTGCAACCTATTTTCAACCATGAAGGGTTACTACATTTAACTCTTACGCTCTTATTAAAACGCCCAAATCTGTTTCTCGCTACCACCACTAGGGGATTCTTTTCGGCTTCTTTTTGGCCAAGAGAACATGCCAAGTCGACTTTCTGCGCCTGGTGCACGCCCTGGTTCTGCCCGCGCCTCCCATTGACCAAACTTTCTGTGTACACAGCTCTGGTTAGTATCCATCAATCCATCAGTTGAACACAAAGCGCGTGATTGGATACGAGTTCACGCCGAACGCTGACACTGCCCTCGTGTCCAAAACATGCTCATTGTGCGTGATCAAGCAATGGCCGACAGGTGTTGGGGCGGGTTTTTTAAATGGGTCCATTGGCGATCGTTACGGTTCGCAAATGCGATTTTATAAGCTCTATCTACGGTGCCAGGAAGCTCAGACGATCATTGTTTTGCTCTGCCGTGAACTGTTTCAATATTAGTGAGGTTTAGGGGACGGGTTTCGCGCATCCAATGCGGTACGATGGGCCCTCCAGTACCAACTGCCCATGTGCGAGTATTCTGCGGCCGCGCATGCGCAGTTTGTGCCGGAGGGATCATCGTACTATATCGGATGTGTAGAAACGGTTCCCTAAAACTCTCTATTATTAGACGACGGAAAACCGCGGCCCGCGATTTCAAATAGGCTTCAGACCACTGGCAAGAAAATATTTTCAATATCAAGGTGGCAAGAGTGACGTCACGTTGAAGAGTTTATTACATCGTTGCTCTAGTCAGAGTCTCACGCAAGAGGTCTGCTGCTTCACGGTGTCGAATGAACTCTTCATTATCCTCTACCTCTGCCCTGGCTCCGAAGGTGGAGACGATCGGCGACGCGTACATGGTGGTGGGCGGGCTGCCGGAGCGTGTCCGGGACCACGCCGAGCAGGTGGCCACCATGGCACTGGACCTGCTGCACCTGTGCGGAAAGTTCAAGATCCGGCACATGGCCAATGTGCCCCTCATGCTCAGAATCGGCCTGCACACCGGTCAGCCCCCTCTCTCATTTTTGCGCTAAAATAATCTTTTTCTTTTTTAAGGCTGCTTTTATGTTTGCACGTATTTCGCTTTTCCCTGGTGCAGCAAAGAAAGAAAACTTATGCGCACTTGGCCAGTACATTGTCACTGAAGTGGATCGTATACAATATGCTCCATTTTATTGATGCTGATGAAAGCGTAGCCGTCTGTCTTTTATATATTACAACAACAACAAAAATATGCCATTTCGCGCCGCATGGTAACATATGTGTAGTAGTCTTTGATCCACAGAGATCAGCTACTCTTTCAGATCGATCCTTCCTCAAACTTACTTTACGCACCACAAAAGAAGGATGCCTCGGAACTGGTGTGCAGACCGACATGCACTGGCCGCACTGCACACTGAAAAAACGAGTACCGTCTTAATTCTTTCAATAGGAAAGTTTTGCAAACTGTTACCGTATTCCGCGGTAACGGTTTGCAACCTATGCAGCGACGTAGTGCGTTATCCAAACTGACACGCCAACACCTTGTTCAAACATTATCCAAAATGACGTTCAACTCTTAATGACCTTCCTTTGCATTGATGATTTGTTTGCTAGTCATCACGGCGAGCTTTGAGTAAGGCAATTTTAATACGAAAGCATTATATGCCCCATTGCGCGAAAATCGGGCGTCGTCTGTGGCGTGGCCGAGTGAAGGTACCAAAAATGACAGACGGCGCAAAGAGTAAAAACGCGTCAAAAATGCTCGGAATGACGTCAATTTTTTCAGGTAGGTTCCTGTAAACAGAGTTAAATAGTGGCTTTAAAAATAAAATTTGGTACATTACGGTGTGGGTGGGAGTCAAACCCGGGTCTTCGGGGTGCGAGACGCAAACACTTTCCCGACGCCAGGGCGGCTCACGGTTCTGGCTTACTAAAGGTGTGCCTAGTGCGTGAGTCATTGGGCACATGACGGCGCAGCCAATGGGGAAGAGGTGGCGCCAGGTCTTGAGTGTATAAAAACATTTCATCAAAGGTACTGTAATGGTTTCGCACTCCCACACATAAGCAGTCTTAAGTGTATCTGCCGAATTCGTATTGTCTACCATGAACAACATTTGTGATTTTATCAAACGAATCTCGGAAACGCGTGCTGTGAGCACACGCAAAAACAGTTTACACCTTTAAGACTATAAATCAGGTTACCCTAGGGCTAGCATCCTTAGGATCAGGGATGGCCAGTATTTCAAATACAAGTATTTGAAAAACGTATTTCAAATACTTTGTGTATTTTGAATTTGTATTTAATTACAAATTGGGTAATGTATTTGACTTGTGTATTTAAATACTAAAACGTGGGTATTTCAAATACAATTGTAATTAAATACAATTTTGTGGGCGAAAATACATTCCTCAAATTTATTGTTACTGTCCACAGCAGGAAGAAAACTACGTTCTGCACCGAATGCAGTGTCTCTCAATCAAGCACAAGCGTTTAGTGACTTTGTAATTACGGTGCTGGTCCAGAGCAAGAATAGGGACGAAATCGACGTTCATAGGCAGACTGGCTAAATAAGTGCCTGTGACAACTCGTGATGCTTTCCAGCCTGATTTCCATCCATTATTTTTCCTGGAACATTCTAAATGCGCGGGTCGTCCAGATTTTCATAACTGGTGCGAGTTGCAACATTAAAAAATTTTCTAGCTAGTGCTGCGCGTCTTGGTCGTCCCGGTTCTTTATTGGTCTATATTAAAATGTAATCGACAAAACAATCTGCTTGAAGCTCTGTACTTTTTTCACCTATTACGTCCAAGCTTATTACATTTTTTTGTGATTATATTTCTATTACGTTACTAGAGCCCCGCAAACTAACTCCCGAGTGTGCGATGCAAAAGTAAAATGAGATACCAAGAAACCCGTTGCAGGTGCCCTGAAATCGCTGACGAAAATTTTGAGGAATGTATTTGGAAAAGTATTTGGAGGACACCACATACATTTGGTTGTATTTGTATCTTGTATTTAAATGCTTTTTTGGAAAATATAATTAGAATTGTACTTAAATACATTTCTGACGAAGTATTTTGTATTTGTATTTCGATACATATATCTGCATGTATTTTGCTCACCCCTGCTTAGGATATTACAGGAATACTTTTGGGATGTTGGTGAGCACTAAAAATAGGATGCTGGCGATCTTAGCAGCATTCAAGGCGTGGTATTTTACAAGCAACATGTTAAAAGCAGCAAGCAACACCTGCAGTATAGACGTGCAGATGAACAGGAAACACAGACGCAATGACCACGTATGGCATGGGAATAGCGACCCCGTTGACTGCTTTACCGCCCTGTATACTGGACAGTGCAGATACCCTAATTTGAAGAAAACCATCTCTGCAACTACGAAGAGTACATTACGTTCTTTGCTCTTGTAAATATTTCACGTAAAGCATAGTAAATATAAGTTTAATCATCTATCTACAAGTAGAACGCAATAATACAGGTCATAATTATCTGACCTAGTCGCTAAAACAAGCTGTTTGAAGTGTGTTTTAGGGCAGTTCTACGGTGCGGTGTTCTCGCCCAGGCCGTGGAACCCTTTTCCACACCACGTTTACACCCTTCAAAATAAAGGGTGTTTTTCAAAGCAGTACCTGTTTTTCACGCAAAATATGGGTACTACTACTCGGAATAAAACTACTGGAAAGGTAAACCCATGTGTGTGAGTCTCTGCAACACCATTTTTACATTTTTAGAGTACACGCGCTTGACCGCAGGGCACACATGACTGTCAATATAGTGATCTCTAAACTGGAAAGAGATAACCCTTGAGTCTTGCTCAGTCGCTCCCAATGCACACAGCACGACTCGAGCATACGAATGGCATTTTCGATATTATGCTATAAATTGCAGTCGCTCAACTAGGAATTCGTTCCCAGCGAAGAGCACAACGCTGAAGGCCGATTCTCTTGAAAGCAGGCCACTTTTGCAACCGGCAGGTCCTGTGGTGGCTGGAGTGGTTGGCCTGACGATGCCTCGCTACTGTCTGTTCGGGGACACCGTGAACACCGCCTCTCGGATGGAGTCGACGGGCCGAGGTAACCTCCTACTCTCGCTGCCCCGCACGCGAGAACTATTTATGGGAGGACACAAAGGTAATCCTCACTTAGAGTATCGACACTCGCCGATTGTCCTTTGGGCATCGACTTTTCCTTATACCTAGTGTACAACGGGTTCAATTTTCGATAGTGGGCGCCATCTAGCGGCTGCCGGGCCAATCATCCGAGTCCGCCATTGTATGGGCAGCGTACATTGAGCATGTATCGGACACAAGGGCTGTGTCAGCGTTCGACGAGGAGTCGGAAGACAAGGCCTGCACATGACGTCATCGTTAGTGAATTCCCGACCAGCCCAAAGCGGCAGGCGCGCTGAAGCTCAAGGAGAGCCGCCGCAAAAGCGCAAGTTGCGTCCGTCTTGGCGTCACCGTGTGCTAGCGTCGCGTTCCTTGTGAGACGCTGCAAGACGCCAGGCTAGGCGGCGCTGCGCAGAACCACTAGTCATGACGTATGAAAGGGAAAGGGGCCGGCCTTGTCATTTTGTTCATATTGGCTGATGTGTTATTCAGGGGCTCTAAAGAAGGCTGATGAGCGGCGTCTCCTTCCCAGCATACCGGATTCATATCAGCCGAACCACAGAGAGAAAGCTGAGGCAGGCTGGCGGCTACCATGTCAAGTACAGGGGCGAGATTGTGCTCAAGGTGAGTGTTATATTTAGACTAAACATGTATACGACTAGGGTTTTGCAAAAACAAAAATATATCCCCCAAAAGAGTGGCGCAAATTTAGCGCATTCATGCCTTGCAAAACTTAGCGGAAATAATTCCAAGATATATTTTGTCGGAAGCCTCAATCGTCACATGGAGTTCCGCGAGCTAGCGGAAGCTCGCAAGTAAATATTTTCCTCAGCTTAAACAACGCACATTCTTTGTCTCCCCACATCGTTGGCGCTTCCACTTTCTTGTATTTCACTTCAAAACGATATTGGCAGGCACCATTTGTCCTTTTAGTTTAGTTTCCAAATGAGCACTTTACACCACACAGGTAGTTCTAAAGGGGTACGGAAACAAAATGTTTGTACTTATTTCTTTGTTTAGACGTGGTCGATGATGTGCCGGCAACCCAGAAGGAGTAGTCTATAGACTAGTGTTTCTGGGCCGCCGGCAGAGAGGTAAAGAAAACTAACCTTAAAACGAATTAACAGATTTAAAAAGTGTGCCTGGTGGTGGTCTGCAAATCTCCGTTGGAATTTATTAAAAAGGATGCTTGGGCGAGTTGGGTATTCATAATGTAGGAAATAGCGCAAAGTAAACTCACACTGAAAATACACGCACACCAGAAAAATCTCCGTTGAAATGCCTTCATGTCATGAGTTTCGGGCAAGCAGCGCCAGTTCGCGGTAATATGGCTCGCTCGAGAAGTTACTTAGTCCTCAATGTGACTTGACGGAGAACGCTAACGTGTTTATTGGGCGCCATATTTGAGGACAATTTACTGGGCGCCATGTTTGAGGACAATATTTAGAGCGCCATGCCCAGAACGAGCTCACATTATTAGGCTGTTAAGACCGGCAATCTTGATGGTGCGGAATGCACGTTCCAAAAGAACTGTGGAAGCTCGCCGTCAGCACGCGCTCAACAATCGTAGACACAGTTATGGCCCCCAGTGAATACTCCCTATAGGAAGTATTCACTGGCAGCCATAGCTGTGTGCACGACTGCTCAGCGCGTGCTGATGGCGAGCTTCCACAGTTCTTTTGCAACGTGCATTCCGCACCCTCAGGATTGCCGGTCTTAGCAGCCTATTAATGTGGGCTCGTTCTGAGCACGCGCTCTCGACAGCACCCACAAATATGGCGCCCAGCGAATACTCCTTATACATTAAAGCTTCCACAATGATTCCGGAGCGCGCAGTTCACAGAATCAACATCAATGTTTTTTTTTGCAGGCGATAGGCACGAAGTCGATCTGGATATGAGGGGCCTCTGCAAGGCCAACCATAAAACTACCTTACCCCTAGGATGCGCTGTGAATAACGCACTCAAATATGGCACCCGTGAATACCTTATATACATACTTGCAAATGTCGCCATTGGTCTGTACTAATGGTTATTTCTTCTTGCTGGTTTCATTGAGCTACTACTACTTCTGCGTTATGAAACTAACACGGTTAACCGAACGCTCGTATCACATGAAATACCGTCATTGCCGTGAATGTCGTTACGGGCAAGCTATGTAAAAGCCATAGGGCGTACAGTCCTCGGATATTACTTCTAGGCGAGATTGTCACGCGTTGACGCCACTAAGCGGCAACGCTCGCCACTACAGTAACCTTGGCACTGCCGGACTATACTCTGTTTAAAGGGCAACTTCGCTCAATTCCCAAGATTTCGGGATAATGAGTGATTTCGAATTAAAACGCCCTAGTAAAAGACACTACGTCGTTTGCTTCGCGAAAAATGGGATACACATTTTTAAATATAATTTTAAACACGAGCGGAAATCGAAACTGAAACTTCGGCCCCGTCCGGCAACATTGGCCTCGGGCCGCCAAGTACACGGCCATCACGTGGTACGAGATGTCACGTGATCCTTGGCCCAACGACGGGCGGGATAAGGGCAGGCGTGCGGCAGGCGCGAGTGTCGTCTGCACCGCACTGTTCGCCGCGTTTTGGTGTCTACGGCATTCGACGACGTCTGCACAACTGCGGCGTAAGTCTGCGACTCCGCGCACGTTGTGTCCATAGTGTGGACGAAACTCCGAGAAGCAATAATCACAAACGGTGAGACGACGACGGTGGTTGTGACGCGGAAGACGGCGGTAACGGCGGGACCACGGCGGGCGGTTGGTCTGCTCCCAAGAAGCGCGCTGCACAGGCGCGTACGCCAATCACGTGGACACCGCTGAGCGCCGAGAGGAAACGTTGCTGACGTCATGCGCTACGCTCGATCGGAGAAGTAAAAACAAGCAAAAGGGGGCCATGGTGATGACGTTTAGCTCAATGTTGGCTCCGCCCATGCCGTAGCCTTGACTGCGCTCTTGGTTGCGCCTGAATTCGACCGCTCGAGTCAGCCGAGTTCGGCAACTTGGCGAGTTGCAAAGTTTGCCGGGCCGTTTAAGAAACATTTAGACAGAACTGCGTCGTAATATTTGACGTTTGGTCTTCCTAGGCGATACTGAAGAGGACTGCATTGTTTTTTTTCAAAACCAAAAATGAAGCGGAGTTGCGCTTTAAAGGGGCCATCAAACGAAGTTTGTGCTCGGATAAATGATTTTAAATTGGGACTTTACTAATCCCATATCGTTCAGTTGGCCAAAAGAAAAAGGTTAGAAAGTCAAAAGCCAGCTTTTCGGTACGAACATTTGAAAGTATAGCGGACTATTTTGTACCCTCTTTCCTTCGAAAGCTCTCCGCTTTTTCACTATGATACATCCGCGGTTCCCCAGGCGCATCAAGGACAAGTAGCCACGATCGCCGATCGTCGCTACGGGTCTGCGTATATTTCCGCGGGCAGATAATGCACATGAGGCGTATTTCTTAAGTAACGCGCACAACTATGCCTTTGATGGTTAGCATGACGCGCTTTGTGAAATCCAAGTTGGCTTTGCGCAGGGGCGGGGTCGTCAGCCAACCTACTGGCTTACTGGCAAGCAAGGGTTCAACAAAGCTCTTCCGTCTCCTCCTCGCGACGACGAGTAAGAAAACCTACTTTTTTTGCAAAAATGAGCGAAATTTGAAAGTTGTCACAGTGACACTTCCGCGTTCTATCTCCCAGAAAGCGACCGGTATTCAGCTGCCTTCTTTTTGCTCTCATGCTCTCAGTGGGAACAATCATGGGTAAGTCCTTATTTCGTATTTGATTTTACGTATCAAGTTGCATAGTTGTTGAACTGTATTAAAACTGCAAGTTTAGCTAGTTGGTTTTGATTCATAATGGGAATATACGCCAAAAACACGAGGAGAAGAAGGTGAGAGGCACACAAGATAGGGCGCCCTATCCGGTGTGGTACTGTTCTTCTTGTCCCTGTTTTTTTTTTTGGCTTATATCTCTAATATAGTTGTTTAAGGTTTACCGAAATGCTTGAAGCATGTAAACCAATTGAATAAATAATAAATTATTGAGATGACTACCCTTTAATTTGGGCTATCGTTTTGAGCCAAATAGGATGACTACAATTCCGTAAGCTTATATGGAGTGGTACTAAATGGCAACCAAGCGAAACTCCAGCAGTAAGTAGTGTTTTTATTTAGTGAAGTATACCTTAACTTTGTTTAAAATACATCAAATAGTGGCTCGGGGTATTGAAGAACATATTGTAGTGATCAGCCGGCGCGAGAAGAAGAGGAAGAGGACAAGCAGCACGAGACAGCTTTGGAAACGACGTTCGTCCCAGCTTCGCCACTCGGCCGCTTAACGCTTTTTAGATGTATATATGTATATATTAAATATTTATGTAGTCCACACGCTACATATTGGTGACCCGATCTAAACGACATCAGCCTCCTGCAAGCTGCCTATAATCAGCTGTGTTCTTGGTGAGCTACTCAACACATTCATTTTTTCACAATGGACGTTCGCAACGACGTGGATTCTTCTGATACGCCCACCGCGGTACAGGCGACGGCAGCCCCGATCAAGTTTCCAGAATTTTGGTCTTCGGATTCAGAACTATGGTTTCTAACTGCCGAGTCGATATTTCGCAAACATCGCATCACATCCTCTCTTACCAAGTTTGACTACGTGGTTGCCGCTCTTTCCCAGTCAACCGCAGCCATCGTCCGTGACATCTTGCGCTCTCCGCCTGAAGAACAGCCCTACGAGACGTTACGTACGGAACTCGTGCGGCGTACGACGGATTCTGAGCCTCGACGGATACAGCAGCTGCTTACAGCCGAAGAGTTGGGAGACAGAAAACCCACAGAACTTCTCCGACGAATGGAGCAACTTCTCGGTGATAAGGCAGGGACTATGGACACGTCAATCTTGCGAGAACTTTTTTTCCAACGTCTGCCGCAGCAAATTAGGCTCGTCCTGACCACTACCACCACGGAGTCCGTCACGACACTGGCTCGCATGGCAGACCAGATGATGGACGTCTACTCACCTGGAATATCATCCGTCCATTCACAGACGATCAACCCGACGTCACGCCTATCTGTGGCTGATCACAACGCCCAGCCACAAGCCCCGGATCTCCTGGCAGCCTATGTGCGCATGGAACAGAAGATCGACGACCTCAGCAGACAGTTTCGAAACATTCAACAACGACCCTCAAGATCATCGCGCAGTACCGAAGTCACTACTGCCAACCGTCGAGTAAATGTCGACAACCGAACCACCACCTCGTCGAGTGCCTCTACTCAGCAACAGCAGTGCTGGTATCACCTCCGTTATGGGAACGCTGCTCGCCAGTGCCGACAGCCATGTTCCTTTTCGGAAAACGGGATGGGCACTCGCTGAAGGCGGCAAACATCGAGAGCCCTACATCATCAAACCGCCTGTTTTACGTGACCGATCATTCAACCAAAGTTCGCTATTTAGTAGACACTGGCGCCGAAGTCAGTGTAGTCCCTCCTACATCAGAGGATCGCCGATATCGACAAGAAACTCCCCCGCTTCAAGCGGTGAATGGATCCACAATAAAAGCCTATGGAGAAAAGTCACTGACTTTGAACATCGGTCTCCAGCGGACATTTCGTTGGATCTTCATGATCGCTGACGTGAGGCAGGCCATCATCGGGGCGGACTTTTTAAGACGATTCGGTCTCACCGTCGATTTACGGCACTATCAACTCATCGATACCGAGACGCAACTTCGCGTCCAAGTGTTGGTATCCAAGACACCACCTCTGAGTCCTTTTCTTCCACGTGCGGAGACCGACTCAAAGTGGAAAAGCATCGCGGACGAGTTTCCCTCTGTGTTCGGGCCAAACACGGTTCAACGGTCGGTTGAACACAATATTACCCACCACATTAAGACAACAGGCCCTCCTGTCTTTGCACGCCCACGTCGCCTGCCACCAGAACGACTTCAGATTGCCAAACACGAGTTTGAGCATATGCTTGAACTCGGGTATGTGCGTCCATCTTCGAGTCCCTGGTCTTCAGCTCTACACATGGTGCCAAAGAAGGGGGGCGACTGGCGACCATGTGGGGATTATCGGGCCCTCAACCAAGCTACGGTTCCCGACCGTTACCCTATACCCCATCTTCAAGACTTTGGTGGATTACTTCAGGGTGCTACGATCTTCAGTAAAATAGACCTCGTCAAAGCATACCACCAGATTCCCATCGAACCCGAACACATTCCAAAGACTGCAGTCACAACTCCGTTCGGATTGTACGAGTTCGTGCGAATGCCTTTCGGCCTTCGCAACGCAGCTCAAACCTTCCAGCGGTTCATAGACCAAGTGCTGCGTGGGATGTCCTTCTGCTTCGCATATCTGGACGACATCCTGATTTTCAGCACCATGTCTGAAGAGCATGCCAGCCACCTCCGGCAACTGTTCACACGACTGGCAACATATGGCCTGGTTGTAAATGCGACGAAGTGCGAGTTCGGTGTCAAGGAGCTAGATTTTCTTAGACATCACGTAGATTCTCGGGTAATCCAACCGCTTCCTGACAAGGTGGCAGTAATTCGCAGTTTCCCCCAACCACCAACAGCAACAAAACTTCGAGAGTTTCTTGGACTCGTCAACTTTTATCGTCGGTTTATCCCTCACTGCGCCCATATGTCCCAACCGCTATACGACCTCCTCCAAAACCCAAAGATGAAGGCAACACCGCTGCAATGGACGCAGAAAGCGGAGGACGCCTTTAGAGCAGTGAGAGAGGCCATCGCAAATGTCACCATGTTGATGCACCCTAGAAGTGACGTGCCCATTTCTCTTATCGTCGACGCCTCAGACACCGCCGTCGGGGCTGTCCTCCAACAACTGGTTGGGAACACCTGGCATCCTCTCGCATTTTTTTCGAAGGGTTTAAGTGCCACTGAAGCTCGCTACAGCACATTTGGTCGAGAGCTCCTTGCTATTTACCTCGCCATACGACATTTTCGACACTTCATCGAGGGCCGCCAATTTTATGTTCTCACTGATCATAAACCTCTCACGTACGCACTAACATCAAACAGCGCGGCACATACGCCTCGAGAAGTACGACACCTTCTCTATATATCAGAATTTACTACTGATATTCGATTCGTGAAAGGTTCTGACAACACCGCAGCCGATGCACTTTCCAGGCTAGGTGTCAACCTCTGCATCTCCGACTGTCCCGAGATATCCTACACGGAACTTGCGGCAGCCCAACGAGAAGACACAGAACTCCAACGCCTACGAACATCATCTAAAACACTCACCTTCAGGGCATCCAGATGCATGGTTCTTCTGTCACTGTGGCCTGCGAAATGTACACTGGCCGTCCCCGCCCGTTTGTACCCCTAGAATTCCGTCGCAAGGTTTTTGAGGCTGTCCACTCACTGTCTCATCCCGGAATTCGTGCTACACAACGACTCGTGGGATCTCGGTTCGTTTGGCCACGCATGAATACAGAAGTGCGAGAGTGGACAAGAACATGCATCCAATGTCAACGAAGCAAGGTTCAACGCCATACTGTGACCCCGCTGACCGCCTTCAACCCTCCTGACGCGCGATTCATCCACATTCATGTCGATATTGTCGGCCCGCTTTTCCCATCGCACGACTGCCGTTACCTGTTGACCTGCGTTGACAGGTTTACTCGATGGCCAGAAGTGGCCCCCATGAAAGACATAACAGCACAGACTGTCGCCCGCACGCTCGTCGAAATGTGGATAAGCCGGTTTGGCGTACCCGAGACCATTACAACAGATCGCGGACGACAATTCGAATCGCTACTGTTTCAGAATCTGTCTCAGCTCTTGGGCACACACCACATACACACTACCGCCTACCATCCGATGTCCAACGGAATGGTCGAACGTTTCCACCGGCAATTGAAAGCGGCCATCAAAGCCCAAGATAAAACACTTTCGTGGACAGAGACCCTTCCCTTGGTTATGCTCGGCATTCGGACAGCGTTCAAGAGCGATCTGAACTGCACCGCAGCGGAGTTGGTGTATGGGACGTCCCTTCGCATCCCGGGAGAGTTCTTTCACAAAGCCAGCAATCCCGCAATTGCCAGCGCGGAAGATTATGTTCATCGGTTGCGGCTCCTGATGCAGGACTTGCGGCCTGTGCCTTCACGAGTTCCTTCCACACGGAGCACCTTTATCAGCACAGACCTCGCAAAGTGTAAACACGTTTTTCTTCGAAACGAAGGCGTCAAAACGCCACTCCAACCTCCGTATGAAGGTCCGTTCCCCGTTATACACAGAGATACAAAGACGTTCACGATCCTTGTTAAGAACAAAGAACAAGTCGTAGCTATCGACCGAGTCAAACCCGCCCACCTGGACTCAACCGCAACACCGCCTTTCCCACCTCCTTCTCATCCGACCTCGACCAGGCGTCCCCAGAAAAACTATGCGTGACACGGTTGCTCCTAGCGCTAAAAAGAAAACGCTTGGTCACTGCGCCTCCAAGCTAGGGGGGGGGGGGGGGATATTGTAGTGATCAGCCGGCGCGAGAAGAAGAGGAAGAGGACAAGCAGCACGAGACAGCTTTGGAAACGACGTTCGTCCCAGCTTCGCCACTCGGCCGCTTAACGCTT